GCGGCCCTCTGCTGCCCTCTGCTGGTCTCTGCTGGTCTCTGCTGCCCCCTGCTGGTTAACACGAGCTGCTCTCTGATTGGTGGAGGGACGCCCCCCTCGCTTGTCCTGAGCGCGCGAATGCCTCTACGTCTCTCTGCTGTTAGCTGTTAGCTGTTAGCTTAGCGGCGGTCGCTCTGTGAACTGAACACAGCACGACAGAGGAAACCTGAGACAAGGCTCTTTGTCTCCGCATCTCAATCAACCTCAAGTCTCCGTGGTCTATACCTGCAATGGCGGACAAGGAAGGTAAAGTGAAGGTTTTAATTATGGGCAGCGACAAGTAACGCGGTTATATGTCATGTCTTAATTAGCCACCGAGCAAGCGGCTAGCTGCCGCAGCCCTGAGCCGGCCTTCAGCTGTAACAAAAGCCGGGAACGTTTTCATTGTGTGAACTGTAACAATCTCGGTTTCGATGTTGTACATTTTGTTTCCTCGTTGTTTGCCACCAGTTGACGCTAGCTGCTTTATACCGTAGTTGCAGATGAGGCCGCACCGCAACTGTCTTCAGTGAGCTACTCAATTGTAATAGCTAGCTATAAATGCTAACACTAGCGATAGCATGGCGAGCTAACGGAGATGTTTCTGAAAACTTACTTCCACACTGAAACGAACTGAACGCTAGTGAGGCCGGGAGGTAAATTATGCGACATTTGTCGTTTGCAAAGAAAAGCACAAGCAGCCGTTGACTAAGTGCGATTGCATTAGCTGTCATTATTGCTCTGACTAAAGCAGAGATACACTGAAAATGTCCCTCACATTAAAGTGACACCCGCGGTCACATGGTGCACATAATGCAGATGTTTAAAGGAAATGAAACGGTTGCATCAGTCGTTCATCACTGGTCCTGCCACCACTGTCTTTGCTCTTTCAGCAGGTGCATTTGATGATGCGGTGGAGGAGAGGGTGATAAACGAGGAGTACAAGATATGGAAGAAAAACACTCCCTTCCTGTATGACCTGGTAATGACCCACGCTTTAGAGTGGCCCAGCCTGACTGCCCAGTGGCTGCCCGATGTCTCCAGGTACACACTTCTACACGAAAAGACCAGTAGTGATTGTCGCACGCGTATACCGACACGTCCTCCCTCAATAAGTGTGAATGCTGTTCTAAAGCGTTTGTTTTTCTTTACCAGGCCCGAGGGGAAGGACTACAGTGTGCACCGGCTGGTGTTGGGCACTCACACGTCCGATGAGCAGAACCACCTGGTCATTGCCAGTGTCCAGCTGCCCAATGATGACGCCCAGTTTGATGCCTCTCATTATGACAGCGAAAAAGGAGGTTGGGAACTTTTACAGCCACGTGTTAAATAAGTGTTACATAAATATACACTCTGGTAGACGTTTCATGTGCGTTATGTTTATAGTGTGTAAATGTGTCTTAAAGAGACAGATAATCATAAAAACAATAATATAATTAGAGTTGCATTTTGAAGTCTATGACAAGTTAAATGAGAAGTTTTAGTTGTTAGGCACTGTAAATCAAGCAGATGCCTCAGCAAGATGCTTGTTGCATGTTACACTTGGTATTTATTAACAAAATGGAAGTCATTTAAGTGGGTACATTATGATTGGACTTGTTTGGACAGATCAGAGATGCCTTAAGCCAGAAAAGTATGTATTGCCCCTGTAGTGTGCTCGGGACCATAAACTTCCTTCCCTGTATCTCCCTGCAGAGTTTGGAGGTTTTGGCTCAGTAAGTGGCAAGATTGAGATCGAAATCAAGATCAGCCATGAAGGAGAGGTGAACCGTGCCCGCTACATGCCCCAAAACCCCTGCATCATCGCCACCAAGACCCCCACCTCAGATGTGCTGGTGTTTGACTACACCAAGCACCCCTCCAAGCCAGGTACATAGGTCGCACACAGTGCAGCACACAGTGCAAGACACAGCTAAAGGAGATGTGTAGTTTGTACTTTTGACCTACTGAGAAGGATTTTGTTTAACATCCTCATTAATGTGTATCTGCTATTGTCCACAGATGCTTCTGGAGAGTGTCGCCCTGATTTGCGTCTCCGAGGCCATCAGAAAGAAGGCTATGGTCTCTCCTGGAATCCAAATCTGTCTGGCTCTCTACTTAGTGCATCAGATGACCATGTAAGAACATAGCCTGTAGCTCTATTCAAGTATTGTTAAGCATCTTCCCATATCTGGGGAGTTTTAATGGGTTGCCAATATTAGTGCCATAATACTCTTAACATAAGCTCATTTGGATTTCATTATATTAAGTCATGTTCAAACATGGGATGTAAAATATTGATGGGTTTTGATCTTTCTCAATCTGTAGACTGTCTGTCTGTGGGACATCAGTGCTGTGCCAAAGGAGGGGAAGATAGTAGATGCGAAGACTATCTTCACCGGTCACACTGCTGTGGTGGAAGACGTCTCCTGGCACTTGCTGCATGAGTCACTCTTTGGATCTGTAGCAGATGACCAGAAGCTCATGATGTAAGAGCATAAGTTAGATTTGATCGGCAGATGAAACTGTTTAGCTGAAAAGTTAAGTGTTCTTGCACAGTCCATGGAATGATATGTCTTGTTTTTCTTCTTCACTTCAGTTGGGACACTCGTTCAAACAACACCTCCAAACCCAGCCATGCAGTAGATGCCCACACAGCAGAGGTCAACTGTTTGTCATTTAACCCTTACAGCGAGTTCATCCTTGCTTCTGGCTCTGCAGACAAGGTAATGCAATACTCCACCACATCTCAATTGTCGCTATTTAGTTTAATTCACAGCATAGAGTTTAACTATATGGTGTCATGTGCATTTTACATGCTGACTAAATGAATGTTGATAATATTGTTGCTGTTTTGTAACTGCAGTGGTATTAAATAAGCTGGCCTGTATGTGTAATATCTCTCTCCTGTTCACAGACTGTGGCTCTTTGGGACTTGAGAAACTTGAAACTGAAGCTGCATTCCTTCGAGTCACACAAGGATGAGATCTTCCAGGTAAGATATTTCTCACTCATGACAGATAGCAGCATATCTTGTATAGTCGGATGAGACAATAGAAGAAATAAGGTCACACTGATGCAATTACAAATTGTAATCTTACAAGTTCTCAGACAATAGTGTCCTGGTTCTTTGAAGAATGTAACTCGCCAACCAAAAACCCTGAGATTAATGTGTGTAACAAATTCTTTGCTAGAGAGTATTAAATGGCTATGTTAGTATTCAAGGTAACCTAATTTGGGTTCTGGGACTGGCTGTTTCAGGTTCAGTGGTCACCTCATAATGAGACCATACTGGCATCCAGTGGAACAGACCGCCGTCTCAACGTCTGGGACCTCAGGTAAACAACATAACATCTCAACTTGAACACACATAGCTCTCATTTGAATTGTGACATAGTCACAGCTTCATCCAGTCCACATGTGGGATTAGTCATACTGTAACATTGTTTGCTATTTAGTTGAACTCTTTCTGTCTGTTTTGTAGTAAAATCGGAGAGGAGCAGTCACCAGAAGATGCAGAGGATGGCCCACCTGAGCTACTGGTGAGTCTCATTGAAGCCCACTGAACCTCGGAAGTTGAGGTTCTCTTTTAATTGGTAACATCATCTTGTGTCATAATGAAAATGGTGGCTTTTCTTCTATCTATCTAGTTTATTCATGGAGGTCACACAGCCAAGATCTCTGACTTCTCCTGGAACCCCAACGAGCCGTGGGTCATCTGCTCTGTGTCTGAAGACAACATTATGCAAGTTTGGCAAATGGTAAGACAGCTGAGATCACATTTTACTCAAGCAGGTACAGACAGGAAGAGAACATGCTTCCATCTCTGTATTAGATTCTATTAGAGGAATTTATTTTCCATTTAAAAACAAAAAAAAGACTATTTTGCAGTGAAGGTTATAGACAGCAGGCCACTTCATTGTCTCTCACTATAATGTGGTTTAGAGCAGACATCAATGAATTTGCATGGAAAAGTTGTGTGATGGAAGGTTCCTGACATGTCAGCTAACGACTGCAAAGAGAAAATCTCAGTCGACTTTTGATATATCATTTGAGGGATTGATCAGTCAGGGCAAAGTGATGAGACAGAAGAGAGAAATAGTGGGAATGGTAAGTGTACTAATCCAGTTTGCTGTCCTATTTTGTTTCTTCAGTTTTTCCTCTAACACTGTACTGTAATTGATGTCAGAAAAGCTAGCAGTTAGTAAAGTAAGACTCTCTGAAAGCCTCATAGTCATTCTCTGGTTGTGCTGGAATAAAAACAAAATCCACTGACCGTAAATATATCTCAACAACCTTACAGTGTGTGGCTGAATGACTGACACTGATTCTCCTTTTAGGCTGAGAACATCTACAACGATGAAGATCCAGAGGGTTCTACAGACCCTGAAGCCACAGCATAACACATCTGCCTGCTGTGTCTTAACCTACAACCTCATCAAAAAACTGCCAAACTGCCACATCAGTAGTTCCGCGCAGCTACCTTCTCCCATCCTTCTCTACTGGTGGGACATGCCGTACATTACTGTAAATACAAGAAAAAGAGTAATCATGTGTAGCCCTGATCCCTTTTGGTATACTCAAAGTGAAGAACTGTCCTTTAACTGAGTAATTTATTGCCTGAAGAATCTCACCCATGTTATTCGCAGTGCATATAAAAGATGTATTTTTATAACCAAATTGGCTCTCCCATCTACAGTGAAATATTTTAGTCAGGAATAAATAAAATGTGTTTCTAGAACCTAAGGTGTTGATCATACTGACAACCCACAACAAGTGGTCATTTACAATAACCTGCTGTTGCAGAATATAAGCTCCCTCTGCACATGTAGGAAATGTTGCAGAAAAAAATGTTTAAAGTAAATTGCAGTCTGGCTTTTTGACATGATGCACAGTGGCAGTTACTGTGACTTTGATAGAGGTTGTTTGCAGGCTATCTTATTGTCCTAAAAATGTCTCATATTTCCATTGCTCCAGTCTGGTCATCACCTAATTGTTCTGGACACTGATTTTCACACCAGCTACTTCTGAATGAAATTACAATTTTGGAGTGAATTTGCGTTTGAAATGTCCGTTCGTGGTCCCACCTCCCCTCACCTTCGTCATACATTAATCATTTAAGTGTTTTCGTGATATAGATTAGTGGTTGAACTTTTTCTATGTTCAATATTTGTACAGTGAGTGCATTCTTAATAAAATGTGTTTCATTAGTCTTTGGGTCCATTGATGTATTGTCAACATTTTTCAATATGTGTTAGTTACATAGTTTGTTAATAGGTCAGCGTCCTGCTAAACATGATGTATTTTTAAACAATCCTAAATCCTTTTAGTCAGAGTCCGTTATGCCTCATGACACTTCGCTCAGACCTTTTTATGTGTCTGGTGTGACGTCTTGGTGCTTTCCTGTCTGCCAAACGTACTCTCACTCTATTACTCTGTGTCCCACTGTTTAGTTCTTCAGCCATGTTGCCCTTATAAGTACATGAGCCCCTCTCCACTCTTTATGCAGAGACATTAACTCGTCAGTCACACTCAGGTTACAACAAATGCAAAGCCTTTATTCATAACAAAAACCTTTCTACAAGCTGCAGACTAGTTCATCTGTACAGACTGTTCTAAAAAAAACAACCTTTTAACAATATTTATTTTTTTAACAAAAGCGTGTCTCTAAAGTGCATTAATTAAACTGGAGTTCATTATGTTTCAGATAAAAAGTTACCAATTTGTAATTAAATCACAGAACTCTTGTTTTTCAAAATCAAGACAATACGATCATGTTGTCTCCTCATGGTTACATTTGTTATGGTCCTCAATGGCAGCCCTGTAAAAAAAAAAAGGTTGTAATTAGAGCTATGTCCTTTTTAAAATTATGATACAGAATAAACTAATCTTACCTGTACAGGAGTAGTTGTTTGGTTAGGCTGTCTCTCAACTCCTCTATCTCCTTGGTTTTCCTCTTTTGAATATTTAACTCAGTCTTCAGCTCTCTGCTGCTCTCTTCCAGACAGTACACAGTCTCCTGTAAGAATGGCATAGCTTTATTGCTTTGTGTATCAGCTAACTGCCTTTTACTGATGCACACTTGGAGGACAGTTCTAAGCCCCCCTACCTGCTTACCCTGTTCATTTTTGGTCTTTCCTTCCATATTTTTTACCCAATTTACACATCTCCCCTATCTGCCATTTTGCTTACCTTGTATTGCCCCACTTCCTCTCTCCTCTGTAAGTGAATTAGTTTGAGTTTCTCCTCCAAACAAGCCCCCTGGAGCTTCAGCTTTTGGATCTCCTCCTTTAGGGGTCTCAGCTGGGCCTTCAGCTCCTGGGCCTGCTCTTTGGCTTTCACCAGTGCTCCGGCTGTTGCCTCCCTCCTCTTCAACAACGTTAGCAAAATGGGTTCATACCTAACCAAGACACCATTGACAATGAAACAATTGAGAGTCATTTTTATAAGATATTAGATTTTTAGTCAGGTAATACTAGTACTAGACAGTGAGAGCACCTGTCTTCCAGCGCTTTCAGCCCACCCTGCAGATACTGCTGGATGTCACCACATGAGTGCCTTCTGCACTCTGTCAGGTCCTCCTGGGTGTTGGAGGTCTGGCTGGAGCTCTGGGCATGAAGCTCTGCTTGTAGGTCTAAGAGCTGTTGTTTTTGGGCCGTCCTGAGTTGTGAGCCCTCTTCTGTCAGCTGGAGCACCAGTGACTGCAGCTTCTCCTGGAAGATGGGAAGAAAAACATTTATGTGAAAGTTTCCTTAGAAATGTGATGAATAGATAGGGATTTTTCTTGTAGAATTTATTACCTCATCCCTCTTTAGCAGCTCCACTTCACGGTTCTGGGTGTTCAGGGCGACCTGGTTGTAAGCACAGTCCCTAGCCATGGTGAACAGCCTCCTCTTCAGCTTTCTGAGCTCCTCCTGCAGCCCCTGTCTCTCGAGGTTCACCTTCCACATCCTCTTCTCTTCCTCTGCTCTTTGGTCCCTGAGAATTTGAATCTCCTTCTTCCTCTCCTCTCTTCTCCCTTCTTCCTCTTTCTTCAGTACATTCATCAGCTCAGCCACTTTGCTGTCAATTGACTCCTCTGTCTGCTCTTCATTGCTCCCCTCTGCCTCCTCTCTGTCTTTATTCCCTCTTAACTCCACCACCTCCACCAGCAGTTCCTTCCTCCTATTCTCTAACCGCTGTACCTCCACTATGCACTTCTCCATCTGAGACCCTAGGGCGCCTAGGTCATCCATGCCTGATCCCAGATCATTGGTGTCCATGTTGAGCTTCTGTCTCTCTCGAGCTGGCAGTTCAGCGTCGTCTACTTCAATCCCAGTTACTTCTCCCTTCATGTCTGTGCCTTCACCAGTAGACATATAACCTGTCTTTGTCGCCTCACAGTACATTGGATCATCTTCTGTACTATCTAATGGCATTGGTGCCCCTGAAAACCTCAACTGAGAATCAAGAACACCCCTGTCTGATCTCAAATCCCCTTGCCTTTCCAGACTCTCCATTGAGAAGGCACCCACGTCACAGCTAAGGTTCTGCTGGCTTCCATTTGTTGCAGAACCTATTGTCACCTCATTTCTGCTTTGCTTGGAAACTTCATTTTCCTCTGCTTGTTGACTAGCCCATGATTCTAAATGCATCTTCTGAGTCTCCAACTTCATTGGCCTCCCTTCCTGAATGGGCACCAGTGTTGTGCCCCTACAAAGATGAGGATTCTTACCAATGTGCACATATTCTTGGCTTGCATCTGAAGCCCAGTCTTGGGGCTCGAAGTCCATCCCAGCCTCTTCCATACAGCTCTCCAGCATGGCCAACATTCCCAACAGCTGGCCCTCGTACTCCATCATGGTGTCACTCAGTTTGTTCCCCGCTGAAGTGAGAGGCATCTCTCTTTGGCAAGAAATGTCAGTGGCCACTCCACACCTGTTGCCCAGACCTTGCAGCTGACCTTGTGCTGGCTGGTCTTCTGTGCCAGCCCCATCCATTTTTGTGTCAATGTAGCTTGTGGAAAGATATGCTTGGCGAGAAGTACTTGTTTCTCCGTAGTTCTCTGTTGCGTCTTCCTCCTTGCTGTGGCGAAGAGTTGTTTCGGTCAGGCTTGTTTCATTGTAATTTGCTGAGAGGTGAGAGCCAAAAGGGATACCAGTGAGCTTCTCACAGTTTTTCAGCAAGTCATCCATCTCCTGTAAGTATGGTTTAATCAAACCTGTTTGATTCAGTTGTGTTCCTGTGAAGGTGAGTCCAGATTGTGCTGTGTTGCACTCTCTTTGTTCCATCAGGGTTCTGTCTGGATCCGCTTCATCTTCATTAATGAAGAGAGGCTCAAACCCAGTAGATGAAATGTTATCATCCAGGTCCTCCATTGGTTTAGCTTAATTCTTGTAGCCACTTTAGATGTGGAGGCCTCCTTTACAACCGCCCCAGTACTTGGAAAAAAAAGCAGATTCATACGTTAGGTGATGCATATTAAGCATGATAGCTGTATTTGTTGGCAGCACTGATGATATGTCAACAGAGGAGTTGGGTTAATATTTTGGCCAGACATCTGTGTAAGCTATGCTGATGTCATTAGCACATGCAGGCATGTAGAGCTGGGCGAGGGGGAAGTTTAGCAGAGAGTATGCAACCAGCACCTGTCCCACTAGTCTGGATGGCCCAGGGACCAACTGGCTTGGACATATTCAGACACACACGTCATACAAGCCTCATGCATTCACATGAACACCGCTACAATACTAATGTAAACACATACAAAGGGCTTTCATCTGAAGCTCCAGCAAGTGGTGTTACACAGATTACATTAGAGAACAGATTATCATAACATGGCATTGTGCCGATGGATGGGCATTTGCACTCCCCTGGTGAATAATGCAGCTGTAATTTCACCCTTTGAGGTGTTTGCCAAAACTAGCCAGAGACTCCTGGTCAATTGATCAAATTGACCCAATACTGTCATCAGCAGAGATTAGTAAAGGGCATGGAAGACAAGTGTGACATTAATTTGATAGCTGCTGTTTCCTAGCCAAAGACCTGGTCCAAAATACAAGACGCAGCTCTAAGATTTGTGTTAAAGTAGGTCAGATACAAAGAATCTACAGCACCAACAGCTCCTTACTGTCTGTCCCCAGTGCCCGAGGACTGGACAGTATTGTGCTGTGCATGGCTGACCAGTACCCTGGGGAAGACATGACAGTCACCAGCTGTCTCGTTGCAATACAGGCGTAGGTGCAAGTCACATTTTTTAAACCCACCACTACCCAAAGACATAACTGGCCTATATTTGCTGAGCACTCTGAACATGAACTTTCTTCTTACATTAAACATTGATAACATTCTTTTTTTTAAGCTTCATGCACATTGTTTTTTAACTGTTAAATTAGTTCACAGTTAGTTATTTGAATGTTTTGAAAAGACTCTTGAGAACAGTATGAATTTTGAATTTCTTCAGGGGTTTCCATTCAAATTTGATCAACTTCAATTACTGTTATATGTAAATATGAAATATAATTGTACTTACTTCTTTGTGTACGCTTGTTTCTTCTGCCTTTATGTGATAATCCTCAGGATGAATCCGTTAGAAATGAGTTGCGGTTCAAACGACAAAGCAAAGTGAGCAGCCAAGAGTGAGCGGGAGCAGTGTGTGCAGATGAACTGAGGGGGGGAGTAAAGACAGTTGACCCAACCCCTCTCTCAGCCATGTGTGCTGCTATGTGTGACCATGACTACCTCAAATCTGTTTAGGTTTATTAATAAACACTGGGCTGAGAGAATAAGGAGCCACAGCAGGCTGGTTTAATCCAAGAGGGATAAAGGATTTGTCAAAATGGGCTTCTAAGAATTACTCCAAGCACCTAGTACCATGTATGTAGCTCATTACCAGGTTGCCTCATTTTATGTTTGTTGGAAGACTTCACAACAACCTCTCTCTGAAAGGTTGACATGTTTTTATCGTAAGAAAACTTGCCCTTTCATTGATCAAATGACATTGTCTTCATATACGAGGAGTTATTCCAACATATCACAGTAATTTTAGAAATTGCTTTAGATTAAATTAAATAATCAGCTGAATGTTTCATTAGTTTTAAGAAAAGCTTGATAGTATCAACATTTTTTGCACCAGTAGAACTGAGAAGTAGACATCTGTTACTTCTGTAATTCCAGATTGACAGATGGAGCTGGATACATGTATTATGGCTGTTGAGAGGTGGGTGTGTGTGTGTGTGGAGGGTTTATGGTGTGTGTGTGTTTATGATGAAAGAGAACATGGCTCCAGGATTCCTCCCATGCCTCCTCATTATCGAGAAGTCTTTAAATAGCTCACTGGACTTTTCTGTACACTTCCCATGGGAGGATTGGTTTTCGCCTAAACTTCTGACCCCAACAATAGACCACAGGTGGTCTTCGTTGTCTGAGGAGAGGCCAGAGGGGCTGTAAAAGACATAAAAGGATGTGGCAGGTGTAGAAGAAAAGGAAATTATAGGGATATAGGAGGAGACGATGGAGATACTCAAAAGTTGGGAAAGACAGATCGGTGAAAAGCAGACATCGGTGTGATCTGTGTATTGAGTTGCAAAGTCTACATGTTTTTAATTTTTTATCTCCAAAAAGGTTTTATTTAAATTGTATAGGCTTTCTTTTTGGTAATGACAGTTTATCAATCATATGACATTTTTCAAATTTCATTCCTTTATTTTAACACCCTGTTTGACTATTACCACTAGAACAGACCACTAGATGGCCTCACAGTTTAATTTTAACTCCTCTCATCCGTAGAGTATCATAAAAGGAAATGTTGAGTGTGTAACATTGAACAACCCGTTTATATAAGAAACAGCTTCATTTTCTCAACCCAGTCTTTCTGTAGGGTTGTTTATGAATATAACAGTTCATTTAATAGCCATAATTAAACTGTAAATAAAGGAGTGACACACTAGTTGTGACGCCTAGTTTTTAACAAGATTATGTAACAAACTTTTCACCTTCTTTTTCTGCATTTTTTTAAATATTTTCTCAAATTTGTTATTGAAGGCTGATTCCTGCTTCATGAAGGAAGATAGAGGTGAATGATGGATGCCTGTTTAGCCCTTTTTGTGCAATAAAATAAACAACAAACTATCCAATATTAATTTACTGCAAATACCACTTCAGGGTATTAACATTACCCTATTTACTGAATATACTTTTATTCGCAGTTAACAATATGAAATAGCGACAGGCATCTGTTTGCAACTCTGATTCAGTGCTTCCATGACAAGATTACGTCACTTGTGCTCAACAAGAGATGTAATGTTTATCTAATTCACCCTTGTTGACCACTGCTACTCTGTGTTTTGGCAAGTCTAGGCTTTGGGAGAGAGATGGTAATTTACATCAAGTGTCCAGGGATTATCTGTTTCAACACTGTGGTGCTGATGCACACCCAAACAACCACTGGGATCTAGAGAGACTTTGAGACTCTCCCTCACTTGCCTGCCATAAAAATCATCATCCTTCTTTTTCTCTTTTCTATCATTTCCTTCATAGAGGATGGAGAGATCATCAGTGTGTGTGCGTGGGTGTAGAGTAGGACAAGGGGGAAACTGGACATGCACTTGGACCGGCCAAACTCACCAGAACATCCTGGGAGTGTGTCCACCTCCTTCTCCTGTTTCTGGTCTCTTTCCCCTCTTCATCAAACAGCAGTAAGGCATCACTATCTGGAGAAAGCTGGACTCATTAATGTGTTTTATTTTTCTGTATCACTCTTTCTTGGCTCAAAATTGGCTTTGGTGCAGGACCACCTGTGCAGAACAGTTTGCAGTGTATTATTCACTAAAATCTGTTCAGTTCAGACTGGTGGACACATTAAATGCCTCTACATAATACACATCCCATTAAAAACAAAATGTGCATATGGTCCATTGCTATAAAAAGATTTTCCAAGAATGGTTTGGTGAAGAGAACCCTTGTTTTTTATGTGAAAGTGTCCCTTATGGGTGGTTCTTTCTGGTTGTACTCATTGTTGTATTCAGTTTTGGTGGTCTCACCACATTTGGCCTTCAGGGATTTAGGATTTTTCCTTATGTATTTTGAGTAAGGTTAGGACATTGCTGCTGAATAGTAGCTATAAAAAACAGTTGTTAAAATAGTGAATAAATCTAACACCCAAACAAACCAACATAAATACACTGGTATCTCAGTGGTAGTGTTTTATTTAGAAAATAATTTAATTTAGGAGACAATATAGTCACAATTTTGGTTGTGTATTTTTTGAGAGAAAACAATGGTCATACATCTTTCTATGACCCATGTAGAGCCGAAAATAGAAGCAGTCGCTGTTTTTGTCTGCATCCAACATGCATTGTTTCTTATCATTCTTAATTTGCGTAAGGAATCATGAAGTCAGGAGAGCATTTTTAATCACAGTCTTAATTCATATTCTCACCTTTACACTGCTGCTTCCCAGCGCAACCAGTCTTTTACTGCTAAGATGAGAGATAAAATGCCTTGCTCAAGGGCACCTTGACAGCTGTTTATTGCAGTAGCAGAGAACATTGCTCCTTCAATATCCTCAGGAATATTTTCTCAGTCAGTCTGGGGATTTTAACTGATCTCTCTTTGTTTTCCATTCCTTCGTTCATCATACAGCACTGTCTCACTTTGGCTAAGTGTGTTTTAATGACAATGACCGATTTGGGTGTTTATTTTAAAGAGAGAGTGCCTCTGCTGTATAATTGTCAGCCACCATCTTCTTACTGTCATCAGCCACCCAGTGTTTGTACCAGTTGGCTTTTCATGGTCTTAAGTGATCACTTAATATAATGAAGTAGGGGGGCCCGTGTACCTTCTGCAGTGTGTTTTTCCACTGTTCTGTATTCTCTATTTAAAGAGGACGGACACACTTACCCTTAAAAAGAAGAAGAAGGCTACGGCTTGTTCCCACAGCACTTTAATGATCTTTTTTATCTCACCCAAAACTCTTTTCAGACTACTTTAGTCTTTGTATGGAAGTTTCACACTTGCCAAACATTTTTTCAATGTTGAAAATAGCCCTGATTTTAGAGTGTTGGGAAACCGCCCAGGTATTTCAGTACTGCAGCTACCTTTTCAGATCACCTTTTTATTGTTGCACAGTCACAAGCAGTTCCCATGAAGGAAAGCTACAGATGAATATAGCTGATATGGAGATGATGAGCTGAGAGATGAGATCACACGCTCAGTCAGTGAGGATCATAGTGCGGGCTCAGTCATGGTTGACAGACTTCAACTACTGAGAGAACAGCATCAACAATGAAACCACCAGGAGATGTTCAATCCTAGACTTTGTAAATCTTTAACCAAAGTCTTGAGATTTTAGATTTAAATAGAGACTCTGTAATGGTGATTGTTTGTGTTGAACAGGCTTAGGCTTTTTGTGTGTATGCGAGGCTGCATGTACAAGCTTGTATGTAATGCCTGCATTGGCTGTAGGCCTGTAGTGTTCCTCTAAATGAGGTCATTCATCTGATAACTTTTGATCAGATCAGTTTCTCACCTCCCGAAAAACCTGCCAACTGGCTGACATAATTCCTCTAAGTGATGGGTGGATTCAGGGATTCCATGTCGCAAGAGCCAGATGTATTGTTCACTTGTTTTAGTAAATGTTTTTGCAGTTTTTTGCTTTGCTAGTGGCATTGTTCTTGACGTGACAATGTCTATCTGGCAGTCAATAATTGAATAGATTAAAATTTAAATTTGTACAAACGTTCATAATCTCCAGAGGATTAAACCAACAGACTTTGGTGATCCCTTGACTTTCCATAAGCACCCCTTTCAGTGAGATTTTTAGTTTAAAGTAAAATGTCTATTTGATGGATTGCCATGACATATGAAACAGATACCCATATTTTGTCTAATACCAAATACCTGCAAAACTAAAGACATTCCCATCAGCCTTAGCTGTACTTTTAATGCTAATTACGGTACCAAATGTTAGCATGTTAACGCGGTAAACTGAAACAGTGTGTTAGCATTTAGCTGAAAGCACCACTGTTCCTACAAACAGCCTCACAGAGCTACCAGCATAGCTGTAGACTCGTTGTCTTATTTCAACATAGTATACATGGATCTCACTTGGGTCCAGCCAGACAGAGAGAGACAGACAACATAACATTTTATCCACCACACTAGTCTGTATAAATTGTAGCATTCCTTTGGTCTTACTCACCTCTCTCCAGTAGAGGCTCACCCAGCTCTTACTGGTGCCACTTTAGCACAACCATGTATCATAAAGGCTCCAAAGGGACACTCTGTTCACCTGAAGCCTGCTCTAAACCCAAACATATAAAGTTTAGACGTAAAGTCATTGGCTGAGGTGTGTGTGTGTATGCAGTACGTGTGGATGTGTGTCCATGTGCATGAGTGTGTTTGTATATCTTAAATGATAATGATGTGGTGTAAATTTTAGTTTGAGATACTAAAGTATATATTTAGATGACTACTTAAAATAAAATAAGTTTTATGAGTTAACAAATGTGTTTTTGCCCACTCGAAAAAACCTTAGACTGTACAAATATGTTCCTAATCCCTGTTGTTTTCATAAATGGTTTCACCAGAGAGAATCACCACTGTTTTCAGCTCTCCTAATTAGATGTTGTGCGAGTGCCAATCTTGTTATTTTAATAAAGATTCGACAGAGGTCACCTCAGGTTTCCTGGC